TGTAAATTCATAGCTTGGTTCGTTAGCTGTGCATCTGATAACTTTTCCAGTAGTTGTTTTTTTTTTTCGTTGCATTCAGTCAGCCTGTTGACGATCCTGACGTTCGATTTGTTTATTAGTTCAGCGGTTTTCTCGGCATGAGCTTTCAACAGGGTTCTAGCCGTTTCAAGATGTCTTGGTGTGTGTATGTATGTGTATATGTATGTGTGTGTGTTTGTGTGTGTGTATGTTTGTGTGTGTGTATATGTGTGTATGTATGTGTATGTGTGTATATGTATGTGTGTGTATGTATGTATGTGTCGTTAACCCAAATCTTTACGATTCCTGGACCAATGTGATGATGTTTCTTCACAACGATATGCTGATTTTGTAGATGATTGCGATGCGCAGTTACAATCTGTTATGGTGACTCTGGCAAAAATGAACAAGAAAACAGTGCAGCGCCTGAATGCAATAGATTTTGAGAAGGACGACGACACCAATCATCACATGGAATTCATCACCGCTGCATCGAATCTGCGTGCTGAAAATTACTCAATTGCACCAGCCGATCGTCTGAAGGTACTACTGCTCCTCCATCGCTTCAGCTCGGCTTTTTGATCGATTGCGCTTTTTTTTACCGATCCGTGAAGAATACTTATTGCTTGAAGTAGCTTTTGTCCAGGAGCAGCACGAGCAATCCATCTAAGAAATTTTCGCCCTTTCAGTTTTTTGGTTTCTTCAATAGTCCGTAAATTGTAGCATTCCACTTAACATACTGAAGATGCTTAGCAGTCTCATTTCACACAATCGACCTCTCAAAAAAATGTGGGTACCGTGTGGAACTGTCCGCATGTCTTTTAGAAGCAGCTAAATTTTGTGTTTCCCTTTGGCTTGTTATGAGATTCTCATCGTTTTTTTTTTTTTGATATATTGATGATGAAGGGAATGAAACTTGTGCCGAAAAAAAAATCATCAATGTTTTGGAATCTTGCCCACCGCGCAGTTCCACCAAACAGCAATGCATATTTCAGACAAAACAAATTGCTGGTAACATCATTCCGGCAATAGCAACAACGACAGCCGCTATAGCAGGCCTGGTCACAATTGAGCTGTGCAAAATCATCGGTGATGGACAGAATTTGCCAAGTGTTCCGTCGGCACGCTTCAAAAATGGTTTCATGAATCTAGCGTTGCCATTTTTCGCATTTTCCGAGCCAGTTGCAGCGCCAAAGAAGAAGGTAATCTCCGCAAAGGTTCACAAATTTTCACACTGCTTACTGCAACATTCATCCGGTAGCCGGCTGATGTTTGCCTTCCAGCGAGTTCTGAACTTTTTGATGTTTTGAACATTTTAATGTTTCATTTTTCAGTGTGGAAATGGTTACTTTACACTATGGGATCGACTTGAAGTGCAAGGACCCAAGAAAATGAAGGAATTGCTTCAGCTAATTAAGGTATGTTTTCAGATTATTGCATGTGCAAATAAGAGATACGGCATCTTTATGCACATATTTTTCCGCATATCCGCCCAAATAATTGAGCTGCTAAGGCATTAAATTTCAGCCCCAGGATGGTACCCGTTCCCTCAGCTAGGGGCAGACGTGAAAACCTTTAAAAACTTTCTCCTAAATTCGGCTTTGAGTTCGGGCGGCTGTTGTTAAGTTACGTTTTGAATAATGTACGGTATAGGGGGACGGGGAGGAGGGAGGGGAAATTTAGGGCCATTGTTTTGTTTTGTTTTCGTTTCGTACCCCCAAAATCTCATATCCAAATCCAGGCCACCATATTTTCATATCAGTCAGTCGCAAAACGATTGTTTGCGTTAGCCGCTTAATTTCCAGTATTTGTTAATGTTTTGGAAGTAACTGAAACTAAACCGTGTGTAGTAGTGTGTAGTTTTAAATTAAAAATCTCTTATCTGTTGAGCTGTTTTAGGAAGAATACAATTTACAGGAAGAGACGGGATTCGATGTGTCCATGGTATCATGTGGTGTATCGCTTGTGTATAGCTTCTTTTTGAGTAATGAAAAGAAACTTGAGCGTTTGGAGCAAGAGTAAGATGATTTTTGCTTTTGATTTTGACAAATCCATCAAGTCGCTTACAAGTGCATCGTACTGTGTCGT